TCTTCCCTCATTCAGATTGATTCTCTACTAGCTGGAGTTTTCCAGGGACCCCACAACAATGATTTATAATCAATATGAATGCCTATAGTGCAGTATACCATCATAATGAAGCCAAGATGTGGATACTGTCACAGGGGTTATTCTTAAACCAGGCTGTGCAGACATAAAAACTACAAAGAAAACAAAAATAAAAACTTAAGGATAACAGTCCAAAAGTCCATATTTTCAATTTTATGGGGACTTAGTAGTAGCTGAGGGTAGCAAGGTGATGCCTTGTCAAAAACAAACCACTGAACAAACAAAAATTAATACTAATAAGAGGAATAGGACAACTTAACTAAGTAGAAGGGATATCTTGAGAAGGGACAGATAATGAGTCTATGTAAATAACTTCATGCATGGTAGATTCTGTGGACACAGGTATATTTTCATTTAACTGTGTAGAATGAGAGGCTAATATAGATTCTTCTGTTTCATTATTTCATTCCCTTATTTTTGTTCAGAGGCATTAAAAACAACTTTTAGAGATATTTAACATAGCAGTATAGAGATAAAAAATGTGAAGAGGAGAAAAACTTTTGATTCATTTGTGTGATGGTCACAGATAGAGGCCGTAGTAACCATAAGTCAATGTGCCAGGCTAAATAGAGAGGCAGGAAGAGAGAGGCAAGTTTCTTAGTGGATGGGCAGTGTGTGAAAGAAGTTGAAAGAAGTAAAACACTGAAGAATAATGAGAGAGAGAGAGAGAGAGAGAGAGAGAGAGAGAGAGAGAGAGAGGGAGGGAGGGAGGGAGGGAGGGAGGGAGGGAGGGAGGGAGGGAGGGAGGGAGGGAGGGAGGGAGGGAGGGAGGATTGACTTGTTACCTTTGAAGGACTGTCAGCATGGCCTCACTATGGGAAGCATCTTACAAGCAACTGTCAACTTGAGGCTGATTTAGAGAATGTGATGTGGGTAAATTTTGTTTGAAGAAAAACTATATACAGATATTGTGCTGCCCCAAAGAACTTACAGAAGAGCCTTCGTTTGGAGGGTGATTTCTAATATTCACAAAATATCTGAACTACTAATATCATTGAATATTTTGACATTATTAATTACTTCAGATATTAAAAGCAAAATGTCAATGAATAGAGACTATGACTGTTTTTAGCCAAGTAGATCACAGGCCAGTCTAAGGGAACAATCAGCATACAAATTCTGTACTAGCATTTGCTCTGAACTTTTATAGCAAGAGAAACTCTGAAAGAAAAGAGAGATGGGGCTGGCTGTTAGAAATGAAGATCTGAGCAGTAAGCCAAAACAGCATCAGAGCTTTTACACTGAAAAAAAAGAGGTCTGTAGTTTCTTCCAGTGGTGTCAGCTTCCAGTCATCTAAGGTACTTAGTGGTGTTAGTGATGTTGCTATTGGATAGATTTTTAGCTCGATGCACTGTGGAATCTTCAGGAAGTTACTAAATAGTCCATAACAATAAGGCAAGCTATTAATTTTCTCCAATTTGCATTGTAGAAATGTTGACCCACCCTTGAGCCAGCCAATGGCTCTGGTGAGAGCGCAGGTTGAAGCTAGCCTGCAGATTCCCACCTCATTAACGTCTCTTCTGAGTTCAGCATTTGGCACCAAACACTGACTTCCAGCTTTTTCCAGCACAGGAAGCCCTTTTGACACTTGGCAATCTGGTTTGGAGGCGACATGCAGAAAGACAGGAGACCAACCAGATGGTAGCTCTCTCGCAGGCTTCTTCGGAGATTTATTCCGCCTGTGAAGCAGAAGGAATTGGCCAGGTCTGTCAAGCACATGGCCCTTTTTTGTACTTTCATCATATGAAGAACCCAGGCTAGTCTTTTGGCAGCTGAGGATTTGGCAGACTAGCAACCTTGGCAAAGCTATGCCATTCACAGACCCAAAGCCCTTCAGAGCACAAAGCAATTCTTGAAATTTGCAGAGTCCCTAGATGAAGGGGAAGGGGAGAAATGAGTGATTTGTCACTGACACCTAAATGTGTTCTGGAGATGCTATGAGCCCCGCCAAGGCAGAGAGTGAAGCAGCATGTATTGACCATGAGTTTCAATAGAAGTCTTAGTGTGAAAATTTATAGATCCTTGAACACTGGTCAGGCAGCCTAGAATTGTGAGTACATCTTGATGTACACATAGTCCTCAGAGTCCATCCAACATCCAGACCCCTAAGGTGTCTGTGATTATTATTATTATTTCCTATTTTATTTTAGTGAAGAGGTAGAGAGTTTATATACTTCCACTCTTCAAATGCCAACTGACTTATAAAAACAGTTGATTGAAATAAAGTTTATATGCTATAAAATTGAACTGTGTAAGTGTATAATCAGGCTGGGGAGGTAGTTTAGTGGGTAAAAGTGTTTGCCATGCAAGCCTGAGGACACAAGTTCAGATCCCTAGAGCACAAAAGGCTGAGCACAGTAATGCATGCCAGCAATCCTAATGCTCCAAGATGCTGTGGCCAAGGGACAGGAAAATGCCCTGAAGCACCAAAGGCCAGCCAGTCTGGCATGCACAATGACAAACATCTGTCTCGAACAAGGTAGAAGGCAAGGACTGACCCCTGTGATGATCCTCTGATTTCCACATGCATGCAATGGCATGAGTGTGTCCACACCCACACCTAAAATTACACACACACACACACACACACACACACCACCACCACATCATACACACAAACACCCAGATCACACAAACACATACACACACAGTCCTGCACACACACAAAGCTGGACATGAAGCACAATGGAAGAGCACTTGTTTAGCATGTTTGAACCATTGTCCTATATATAATACGGACAAAAACTGTTGAATGTACATGTCTGTAATCCCACAACTGGCAAGGTTAAGCTGGTGCTAGACTGGCAAATTCAAGAGCAGTTTGTGTTCCTGATTTTGTTGTCATGGTTTGGGGCATATTACATTATTGGGTTATTCAAACTATTATAAACTATATGCAACATAATATTCTACTTTTACCAAAAAGTATATAATCCTCTGGCACAAATCGTAGTGTTATGCAACCATCATCATAATCTACAGACAATATGTTCTTTTTATCATCTTAAACTCTGTAACCATTAACAAAACCTCCTCTTGGCTCCTTTGAACTAGCTGTAGGCATGGAATACTTGTAACATTTCCTTATCCTAGAAAATTTCTCATGGCAATATCTTTATGTAAAAGAAATTATTCAATTTTTGTCTTCTTTGTCTTCACCTAGCACAATGTTTTCCAGGCTCATTCATTGTAGAGAGTATATCAGGGTTCTAAGCCACCCCTGAAAAAAATACATTGTGTGCATGTAGATGAATTTGCATGTGCAGATGCCTGTCCACATGTAAAGGAATGCGTGTGGAGGCTGGAGGATCATTCTACTTACCATCCCCAACAATGCTGTCTCCTAGGGCTGGAGAGATGGCTCAGCCATTAAAGGCTAGGCTCACAACCAAAATCAATGCTGTCTCCTCCTTTGAGATGGATATCTCATGCCTAGGGCTTACCAATTGGGTAAGACTGGATAGCCAGTGAGCCCTGGGGAATTTTCCTGTCTCCTTCCTCAGTATGGGGATAACAGGCATGCACCATCACTCCAAGTGTATTTTCATGGGCTCATGGAGTCAAATTCATGCTTGTGCAGTAATCACTTTACCAATTGATCCATCTCCCAAACCCCTCTGTTTTTTCATAACTGAATAATATCCCATACTATGGACATTATACATTTTAAGAACTCATTTATCTGTTGACAAACACTTGCATTATTCCCACTTTGGGCTACTGTGCTCAAATATCTTTTGTATTACCTTTCAAAAGGAAAATGTGTGTTTAGATGCATGTTACCACCATTCATACATAGTTTCTCAACATCATAGCTGTAAATGCTCCAGGGTCATCATTAAAGATTGATTGCAATGGTTGCATTAGATAAAATAAATGACAAATTTTCTGAACATTTTCAGTGACAGAGTCTGTTTGTAAAGGGTGTTGATGTTTCCCCTAAGCAAAATCAGCTAGTTGTACTACTTTAAATTGATGAACATTTATGTGGGCAAACAGACACTGAGACTATAACCACTTTAAACTTTGGAAATGTGAATGAGAAAGTTTTATAGTAAAACTATTGGGTGTTAAGTAATTTACTATAGAATTGAAATATGAGCAAGTCATTGTGCTATATAGAAAACTTAAACATCATGAAGTGCTTCTTTATTATGTGTTAAGTGAGAACCTTGGAAAATAGAAAATAAAACCAAATCCCTGTTCCAGGCGTATTTTGGGATGGGAAGGAAGATCAGAGAACTGAGAAAAATGTGTCTGCCTTAAAAGACCACACCTGAGCAAGAAAAAAGATTCGAACAATGGTATTCTTTATAGTATCAGATCCAAGGCCAATCTTATTTAAGAATGTTTTACATAAACTACTGGAGAAAATCTATGGTGAACCCTCCAAGTTTACAACTGCCAATCATTTCTTCCAGGAGGGAATAAGCAATAAACAATTAGGAAAATCAGGGCATGGATTTGAGAGGTATCAAAGATATAGGAAGGCATAGAGTGTAAAAAAGTGTCTAATTATATTTTGAATTTTAAATGTTGTGAGAAAGGATACTTGGGAGAGACCTAGATAGTTCATTAGATCCTAGAATAACAGGATAAAGAAGAAATCTCTTAAACTAGTAAGTCACATATTTGGTGCCAGTACTTAGGAAGCAGAGGCAGGCAGCTTGTAGGTTTAAGGCCAACACAGACTTCTTAGTGAATTCAGGTCTAGCGTAAGCTAGTTAACAAAGCTATCTCAAAACAAATAAACATTGGTGATGGGGAAGTCCTCTTTATATGTCAATAAAGCACTGTTGGCCAATAGGGAAGCAAAATAGGTGGGACTAGTAGTCCAGAAGGACTCTGGGTAGGAGAAACACAGGGAGTCATCATGTAGCCGCCATGGGGTAAGAAGTCCGGACCTTTTCTCTGGTAAGATAAATACTTAGATGGGTTAAATACTTAAGTCAGAGCTAGCCAGCAAGAAACAAACAGCCAACAGCTTCATAATTAATACAGCGTCTTGTGTGTTATTTGGGGACTATAATGCGGCAGAGTCCAGGCGACTGATTGGGAAAAAACCAAAGCAGCTGGCAAGGAAATGACTTCACTCTACACATTGGAATATCTCTTCATAGTTCAAGGTACTGTGGTGTTATGCTGATTAAGCATAAAGCTATTTAGCTTTTAGTATTTCTGTTGCTGCTGGTTTTGGTAGGAGTGTGTGTGTGTGTGTGTGTGTGTGTGTGTGTGTGTGCAGATGCATGAGGGCTATGGTGTATGTTTGGCGATCAGATGACAACTTTGAGAAATAAATTTTCTGTGTCCCATGGGTTCTGAGGATGGAACTGAGGTCAAGTTTATAAGTGCTCCAAACCTCTGAGGAAACATTCCAATCCAAAATGAAGCTACTTAATTAACAGTTCATATGAGAAGATGCTTGGGTAGATTTCAAAGCTGCCTTAATTCACATAGGAGTTGACTACATAGTCAAGCATATCTCTCTGAAATACAACTCTTGTTACCTCTTTACCAAATAAGAAAAATAGGCTGGGTCTTCACTTGTAGTTCTCATACCTAATGGCTAAGGCAAGATTCAGGACTGAGATGTAACTGCAGTCCAAGGAGAGATGAATACTTCTACTAAAGACAGATGGGAGCTGCTTTCTCTCCCAGAGCAAACACCACCCTGCACTTGACTCTGAGCAACTATACAGAAAGTGACTGACATCCATTCCCCATAAGCCTTAGGAGGGAACTAGCAAGGAAATCTAGTTATTTGGAGAGAAGCTGGAGAAAGATTCTAAAATATGTAAGTGGTGTCACGGAGATGTTACATCTGTTCAGAAACAAAGGGGATTCCCACCCACACTGGAAGCTCCTGTCATCATCATGGTTACATACTGTTTCACAACTGAAACTGCGCTTGCCTGTAAAACGAGCAGTGCTCTAGATTCCCTATTTCCAATTTCTTATTTTTTTCCGAATTTATGTAAATCTGACTTGAAAAAACGATGTGGTCTTAATATAACAGGCTAATCAATGTCTTTTACCAGAGAGAAAATTGAGTAAAGAAAATACCCAATTATCAATTATACATAGTGTAGCTTAAGGATTGCTGGTGTTATGGAAGTTTCAGTCACTGTGACTAAAGCAAGGAAAATGTGCCAGGACTTTATCAGGAGAATAAAGAAATTATCAGGAACTCACTTTGAGCTAGGAAATGGTCCAGCTGGAACTGGAAGAATAAACAAAAGTTCCCAGAAAGCTAGTGATAAAACAGCAGTTGACTTTATTCAAGACTGGAGTGATTGTCCATTATCTGCTTTTAAACAGTCTGCAATTATGTAGCTAAAACCAGAAAGAAGTCTTCCCTATGGTAAGGAAATCTAAAATTAAAATCAATTTCTCTCTTCTGTAGATGCAACTGTCAAGCAATTCTTCTGGAAATAATGCATCAATGAAAACTGCTGAAGAAGGGCTCAGTGAAGGTTCCCTGGAAGTACTACATCAACAAGCCATCCAGGAACTGTTACTCAAGAATGTCCCCGTCACCAGGATGCTATGTCTGCTCATGGTTCAAGTTCCAAAGCAAACGAAAGCTACAATGACTGGGAAAACAATATCTTTCTATCCTCAGCCTGGCATTGATGATATTTAAATTCTAGGTCTTCTGGGGTGTTCCAAAGAACACTACAGAAATAGAAGAGGCTGGACTTTGATGACCCCCACTGGAGGCCTTACCCTCTCTGAGGAGTGGATGGGGGGTGGGATGGGGAGACAATGGGGAGAATGGGAGGACAGGATGAAGAGGAACTGGTGTGTAAAATAGGACTGTTTTAATTTAAATAAAAATTAATTTCAAAAAATTAAAAAATAATAAATAGAATAGGCTGTAGCAAAAGAAGGCCAAAGGTGTTTAGGAAAATTTATTTTTATCCAAATGATCAATATGTTCTTGAAATAGAACAAAATCTACCATTGGGTACTTCTGTCTAACATGCTAGCTGCTTCCCTTTTTATCTGGATGACCTAGCATTGAGAAGGCATCAGTTTCCCTGTTAGACCTCCTCACCTGCTCGTTCTTTGAACTGGGATATTAATTGGCTCCATGATTTTCAAAACTTAATATACTGAAAACTACCTCAAAGATCCTGGTAAGCTCTGATTTTTTAATTAAAGACAAAATTTTTCATACAATATATTATAATCTAGGCTTTCTCTCCATTATATCCTCTTAGATTCTTTCTACCTCCACAACCTTTAAATTCCACAACTCCATTCTCTCTCTTATGAAAACAAACACGAAAATAAAAGAGAAAAACAAGGATACAGCAAGACAAAGAGACAGAATAAAAAAGTAACTAAGAAATACTACAAGAAACACACACACACACACACACACACACACACACACACACACACACACACCAAAATCAAGAACCATAATATATAAGGAAAAGACCAATAAGGTGGACAATACCCACACAAAGCAATATGAAAAACTCCAAAAATATATTTCAGTTAAATATATTTCAGTTAGTTGTGCGCTGGCTATCTGCTTCTGGGTGTGGAGCCTATTTCTATGTGTGGGTTGTATAACCAGTGAGATTCCCTTCGAGAAACTAATTTTCCTTTATTAGCAGTTGTTAATTGGAGATAACCTCACAGCTGGGGATGGGAGCTCATGTCTACTTGCTCATCTCAGCTCTGGAACCTCTTCTGGCTTGGGTCTGTTCAGAACCTGCCTCTGTGAGTTGATATATGCATCAGCTCATATATGCATGTTTGTTTGGTATCATCCATCCCCTTTGGCTCTTACAATCTTTCTTCTCCTCTTCAGCACTTCCCTGAACTCTGAGGGGAGACAGTTGATAAAGATCTCCTATTTAGACTTAAGGATTCCAAGGTCTTACTTCCTTCACATTGTCTAGTTGTGGGTCTTTGTATTATTTCCCATGTATTGCAGAAGACATCTCTAAAGATTACTGGATCATATACTGATCTGTGGATACAGTGGAATGTCATGAGGAGTCATTTTATTGCTATAGTCCTTTAACAGAATAATAGTATTTTGTTTCACCTAGGTCCTTTGCCTATCTAGTCATATATTCTTGGTTACCTGAGCAGTATAAGGAGTGGCTTCCATATAATGCAGTGGCCTTAAATTCAACCAAAAAGTTGTATTCTCTACATTAAAATTCATTGAATCTGGTGTGGGGATTGTGATTCTGCATTTCATGCTGGTGTGTGTGTGTGTGTTGTTTGTGTGTGTGGTGTGTGTGTGTGTGTGTCTGTGTGTATGCTCATAAGTAAGCACAGCTCTCAAGCCCTTGGAAGACAGTGGACATTGGAGTGTCCTCCCCAGTTCTTTTTCCATATTATTCCATCAAGATATGGTCTCTCATTGGCCACTGGGACTAGGCTGCCAGCTAGAAAGCCCTGGGATTCCTTCTGCCTCTGTCCCATCTAGTTCTGGACTGACAGATACCTTCATGCAACCACTCTTGGATTTTTGAAATTTTAGTTTCATTTAATGTGTTTGAATGTTTTCTGTGCATACATATACATGCACTGTATGCATACCTAGTACCCACAGAAGTCAGAAGAGGGCATCAGATCCCCATAGGAATAGCGTTATAAATGGGTATAAGCTGCTATGTGTGCTGGAAATTGAAACCAGTTCCTCTAGAAGAGCAGCCAGTGCTCTTAACTACTGAGTCATTTCTCCAGGTCACACTCAGCAGTTTTTACATGGGTGTTGAAGATCAAACTCAGGTCCTCATTCTCATGCTGCAAACACTCTTCCTACTGAGCCACGTTCCAGTCCTGAGATTCTGTATTGCTAACAAGTTCTGTGATCTGCTGGTGGTGAGACCTGAGATCGGCTGTTTGCAAAGTAGAAACAGGCTGAATTAATGGACCCATCAGTCACAACACTTGAGTGTATTCTGAAGACATTGTGAAAATGCATTGAATTTTCACATTTTTATTTTATGAAAACTGCAGTATTTCTATTCAGGAACTGATTCCATCTCTGTTTGCATCATTTAGCATGCAGCCCTTACCTAGAAGGTAGAAAATCAAAGCCCAATAGGGAAGGCTGCACATCAGCTAGATAAAGTCACCTAAGTGATGAGCAAAGCCTTTCAACATAGAAAAATTACTTTTTGTTTCAGTAAACTTTATATATGAAGAGTGAAAGTTGTTTTCTAATTTCAAGAAATTCTTATCAAAACAACTGAAAGAGACTATACTTCTTACAGGTCAAAAGATATGCCTCAGGTTTCTATGGTTGAAGAGTTTCATCACTACTTCTGTGGACTGGTAAGCTGCTCGGACTTTGAAATGAAATATCGACTCTTGCTGAGACTTCTATTGTACATTACGGTTTTCCTAGGAGGTTTCTAGATGGAAACAGATATGAATCACTGGAGGGATACAGTCAAAAAATGTTTTAGGTGTGTCCATAAATAAGATGCAGATTAATCTATGGTGAAATAAAGCAAATTTCAAACAAAAGAATTAATAGATTTCTTTAGAAGACACACAGTAGTTGAAATTAAATACACAAGAGAAATTTCACATAGAAATACAGGAGGTAGGAAAAATAGGAAAACTTGAAGGAGAATTGAAGAAATATAGGTGTTCATGTAGAATAACATGAAGATTCAATGGGATTAGATGCTGAAACATAAGTTCAAATTCTTATATTCCAAGAGATCAATTCAACAGATGTTCTTTTCCTTGTAATTTAGTTCTAAAATTCAATGTTTAGTGTAAATTTAAAAATGATAGCTTGGCACTACTTGAGATGAGTGTGGGGCCTGCTCAGGTCCAGCTCCCCCCATCCTCTCCTTGGAACTTCCTGGGTCAGCTCTGCCTGTAGTGGACCCACCCAAGGTCACTGGACAATCCTGAGCCTGCCCTCATTGCAGTCTTTCCCCCTCCCCACTCTCTCTGCTTGAGTCTTGGCCCCCCATACCCTCTGCTTGAGAATTCCAAGAGAACTCGACAATCCAGAGTTGCTGATATAGAAGTCTTGACACCCTGGGAGATGAGCAGAGAGAGATAGACCCCCCACCTGCACTCACAGAAAGAAGGGATGGTGATACAACAGTACAAGAGCACATTCAACAACAGAAGAACCAATATGACACCCCCAGAGTCTAGGGACTCTACACCAGCAAGACCTGAACATCCCAACACAGATGAAGCAAAAGAGAAGGGCCTAAAAACAACTTTATGAAAATGATAGATCCCCTCAAAGAGGAAATGAGAAAATCCTTAAAGAAATGGAAGAAAAAAAACAAACAAAAGAATCAGGAAATGGAGGAAAAAGCAAACCAAAAAAATCAAGAAATAAACAAATCTCCTAAGGAAAGGAAAGCCATGAAAAAAAAAACAACCAAACAAGTGAAGGAAACAATTCAAATACTACAAACTTGAAAACTGAAACAGAAACAATAAACAAAACACAGAATCATGGAATGCTGGAAATAGAAAAGCTGGGTTAATGAGCAGGAACTTCAGATGTTAAGTATAACCAATAGAATGCAAAGGATGGGGGAAAGAGAGAGAGAGAGAGAGGTGTTGAAGTCTCACTAGAGGAAATAGAGAAATAGGCCAAAGGAAATCTTAAGTCCAACAAATCCCTAAAACAAAATGTCAAGGAAATATGGGACACTGTGAAAAAGCCACACCTAAGAATAATAGATATAGAAGAAGGCAAAGAAATACAACTCAAGGACACAGAAAATATATTCAACCAAATTATAGAAAATTTTCCCACCCTAAAGAAGGACAAGCTTATGAAAGTAAAAGAAGTTTGCAGAACACCAAATAGACTGGACCACACACACACACACACACACACACACACACACACACACACACACACACACACACACACAACTCCCCTCGCCACATAGTAATCAAAGCACATAACTTAAACAATAAGGAATAATATTAAGAGCAGCAAAAGAAAAAGGTGAAGTAACATATAAAGGCAGACCTATCAGAATTACATCCGACTTCTCAATGGAAACTCTGAAAACCAGAAAGTCCTGGATAGATGTTCTACAAACACTAAGAGAGTCTTGATGGCAATATAGACTACTGTACCCAGCAAAGCTTTCAATCACTATAGATGGAGAAAGCAAGATATTCCATGACAAAACCCAAACAATACATATTCACAAATCTAGTCCAACAGAAAGTTTGGAAGGAAAACTCCAACCCAAGGAAATTAAATATGCACACAAAAACCTAGGCAAAAGATAATCCCACTATATCAAAAGCCAAAACAAAAAAGCAAGTGGGAATCTACACATAATACCGCAACCAACAACAAACCCAAAACAAAGAAGAACTAACAATTAATAATGATTAATATTCCCCAATGTAAATGGTCTTAAGTTGCCTGTAAAAAGACACAGACTAACAGAATGGACACGAAGAATGACTCCATTCTTCTGCTGCATATAAGAAACACACCACAACTTTAAAGACAGATGTTTCCTCAGAGTTAAGTGTTGAAAAGATTTTCAGATCAAATGGACTGAAGAAACAAGCTGGTGTAGCAATCCTAATATCTAATAAATTAGACTTCAAACTAAAATCAGTCAAAAGAGATGAATAAGATCATTTCATATTCATCACAGGAAAAGTCCATCAAGATGAAGTATCAATTCTGAACATCTATGTCCCAAATACAAAGGCACCTATTTGTAAAAGAAACATTACTAAAACTCAAATCACACATAAAACCTCACACACCTATAAAGGGAGACTTCAACACTCCCACTCTCACCACTAGACAGGATCACCAGACAGAAACTTAACAAAGAAACAAAAGAACTAACAAGTTATGAACCAATTGGGTTTAACAGACATCTATAGAACATTCCATCCAAACACAAAAGAATATACCTTTTTCTTAACACCACATGGAACCTTCTCTAAAATCGACCACATACTTGGCAACATAGCAAATCTCAACAGATACAAAATACTTGGAATAACCCCTGTATCTTATCAGATCACCATAGTTGAAAGTTACAATTCAACAACAGCACAACTTGCAGAAACCATACAAACTCATGGAAATTGAACAATTCATAATTGTACCATTCCTGGGTCAAGGAAGTAATAAATAAAGAAATTGAAGTCTGCTTAGGATTCAATGAGAATGAAGACACAACATACCCAAACTTATGGGGCACTTTGAAAGCAGTGCTAAGAGAAAAGTTCATAGCACTAAGTACTCACATGAAGATACTGGAGAATAGTTACACTAGAAAATTGAGATCACAACTGAAAGCTCTGGAACAAAAAGAATCAAATTCACCCCTGAGGAGTAGATGCCAGGAAATAATAAAATTGAGGGCTGAAATCAATAAAGTAGAAACAAAGAAAACAATACAAAGAATCAATGAAACAAAGAGTTGGTTCTTGGAGAATATCAACAAGATAGACAAACTTTTATCCAAACTAAACAAAAGACAGAGAGAGCATGCAGATTAACAAAATCAAAAATGAAAAGAGGGGCATAACAACAGACACTGAGGAAATCCAGAGAATATTCAGCTCATATTTTGAAAATCTGTACTCCACAAAATTAAAAAATTTAAAGATATGTATAGTTTTCTGAATACATACCACATATCAAAATTAAATCAAGAACAGATAAGCAATTTAAATAGAACTCTAACCCTTAGTGAAATAGAAACAGTCACCCAAAGTCTCCCAACTAAAAAAAAGCCCAGGAATAGATGGTTTCAGTGCATAATTGTACCAGAAATTCAAAGAACAACTAATATAAATACTCCTCAAAATGTTCCACACAATACAAGCAAACTTTTTTTAAGAGACTACAATTACCTTGGTACCCAAGCCACACAAAGACACAACTAAGAAAGAGAACTACAGACCAATCTCCCTCATGAACATAGATGCCAAATGTTCAATAAAACACTGGCAAATCGAATCCAAGAACACATCAGAAAAATCATCCACCATGATCAAGTAGGCTTCATTCCAGGGATGCAGGGATAGTTCAATATACAAGAATCCATCAATATAGTCCATCATATAAACAAACTGGAAAAGAAAAATCACATGATCATCTCACTAGATGCTGAAAAGTCTTTGGCAAAATCCAGGACTCCTTCAATGTAAGGTCTTAGAAAGATTAGGGATAACAGGAACATACCT